CCTTCTCAAAGACTTGAATATGATATAAGAATCTTTTTAAACAAGAGTAAACCTCTATATTTGTAAAAGGAGGAGAACAAAATTCCAACACTAAAGTTTGTTAAACTTCATTGCTCTTAAGCTACTTATAACAATCTCTCATAATTCTCAATAGATGAAGGGTAATAACTGAAACTTACAGTAGATATCTCTTTCTCAAGTGCACGGCAACGTTCCAAAGCAAGCAAGGATCCAACCCAAAGATCACCAACCCGAGGACAATTTTTCCTAGCCCTGGAATGAACATCCTGCACAATATTTCCTACCTAAAGGAAAAAGAGATGATTAATTGCTAAAATTACAAATACTTGGAGCATAAAGAATTGAAAAGAGAAAATATGAGTGAAATCTTCAAGGTTTTATCCAAATAGTGAGTATAACCAAGCCAAAGTTCACTTGATACAGGAAACTCGGTAATAGCACATTCATAGGGAAGTTGAACATGTGCTGGATCTCTAGAAGACTGTTCAAACTTCAAGTAGATCTGCAAAAATTTCAAATTAAAATAATAGTATTAATACTTTAAAGAAGGAAAAAAAAAAAAAAAAAGTAACCTATTGCCACATTGCAAGTTCTTATACAACCCCCCACCTCAGGAAAAGAAGAAGAAGAAGAGAAGATCTAAAGTTTACATAGATTGACTACTTATATTAGAAGCAAGAAAGACCATAAGAAATTGAAATTATAATGAAATTTCAACAGCAACTTTGTTGATAAACAACTTGACCTAAAAGCTTAAGCTTGAAAAGGTAAGGGCACAACAATGATATTCAGCTTTGTAACAGGCAACTTCACATGTTACATAAACCAAGCCTGAATTCAGACAAAAAGACCAACCCAAATATAGCAGGATGTAATAGATGGGAGACTCAAATCATGACCTCTACACTTTAATATCATATCAAGTTACCATTTAACCTAAATTCTTAAGGTATCACGTAAGAACCCAGCATTATCATTTAGCTGTCTAAAACAATATCTGATAGTAAATGCCATATACTGTGAATTGTTGAAATTTTTCGTAGTCAGATATATCTTGCCTTGCAATCTGTTCTTCAAAATCAGCTCAAGCACTATATATCTCTAATGCCTTTTGGTATGCTGAGGCAACAGTAGAAGGAATCCCATCTAAATCACCTGATTCAATATCTAGAGCAGTCCCCAGTTCCACCTCCCAAGACTTGTAGGTTGTAGGCAAGAAGGATTGACCTTAAGTTAGCAATGGGCACAGACAACTGACAGTGAAATATACTTTGGCTGCACTAAACCTGTTTTTCTTTTTCCTGCAAAAGAGCAGTAATTTTCCAAAAGTAAATTTTGAAAATAGATACTTTTTCTTGGTACATAGCACTTCATAGGGAAATGAAAGAAAAAAATTTATGATGTATACATAAATGACAAAAAGAAGAAAAAAAAAAGGTTCCTAAAATAAACGGGATATGCAACTTGAGCCATGGTTCTAGGAATATAAAGGAAGACCCACAAAAGCATTATTAACCATTATACCAAACTAGTAGGATGGAATAAGACATTAAATAATCAAGTAAATTGATTAATAGAATGCATCCCCTTCAGGCACATTTTCTAAAAAGTTTCTAATATATATGTATATTATAAATTCTCACCTTATGTTGATCTCATCTATGGTATGGAGAATGGCTTGCTCAAATTCCCTGTATGCTTCCCACATTTTACTGCCTTCAGCAACATGCAAACCAGCAGCAATTATAGCATGCTCGAAGAGATTTCTTGCGTTCGCAATACCATCAAGTGAAAATTCACGTACAAATGGATCATATTATTGCATAAATCTCAAGCAGTCACACCAAAGTGAGATAGACTGTATCAGAACAAGTTCTAGTCATTCAATTTTACAGAATTACTTAGATAAAGGAACTCTAAAGAATGAAATTAATGTTTTTATCCCCTGATTCCACATATATGCAAAATCTGACTGAAAGTAGCAAGAACTTAATTTTCCACAAAAAGTGGGGAAAAAGATGACAACATGCAATTAAAACTTCCAAAATGTATTGCCACTCAAAAAAATAAATTTATGTTCTACATTGATTTGACTTTGAAAACTTCTCATGGAAAAGTATAAAGAGATGACGAAAAAGAAATATATGATAGCCTAGCAAATCGAGGAGCTAGAGACCTCGCAACAATTCCCACTAAAACATATTCTGCCCTCTTTCCTTTCATCTGCCCAAATTTATACTAACTAATCACAATATTCTTACCACTATCTCCACGTGCTTAAGCCATTGTTTTAAAAATCGGACCGGAGGGCAACCCGCTCTGATGGCCGGGTCATGGTTCAACTGGTCCAACCAGTTGGACCATCGGTTGGACCAGTGATGTCATCACACATCATGATTATAGTGTTTCTCTCTTCAAAAATATTTTAAGAACTAAATCCCACCCTAAAATATAGGACTGATATGTATAGTATGTATATAATTTCCATTTTTTTCCTCTCATTCATTTAGTATATAACTATATATATAAATTATAATACAGTACTAACATTATAAATACTATAGCTGACTTAAAAAAGGTTTATAAGATTGCTAAGTTATAATCAAACAAATGAAACGTTTACAATATGATTAGGTTTCCAGGACTTTCAATCTAAAAAAATTACGCCATCTGTCTGAAACTTGAAAAACATGTACTAAACATGCACTAAGCAATGAAAAGCGGTGGGGTGCTCATGTAAACCAGTTGCTTTGCTATCTTAACAAAAGAGATCAATCTCCTAACAATTAATTGTTCATAAAAGATCTTTTTTCTATTCGGCACATGTCATCTTCAACCCAACTAATCACCATTTAGACATCAATTAATTAGAAGAAATAATTAGAGATTTTGCAATTACAGTCAAAACTTAAAAGTTCCATATCCAGCCACAGCCAAGCCTACACAAAATACTACGATTACAGTCAAAAATTGCATATCCAGCCACAACCAAGCCTATACAGAATACTACAATTACAGTCAAAAGTTTTATGAAGAACAAATGACTAAAGCCATGCCGCATTGATTATTGCTCCAGATTAAGTTTGCATCATTATAAAAAGGTTTTACTGCATTTACCAAATTCTTATCCAAAAACAACAAGCTATGAATCACAAAATTATCCATACACAAAGACACAACCAAGAACCACTCACAACAATGGCCTCACTCTCTTCATCTCCTTCCCCATTTCTATCCTCTTCTAAAACCCTCTAAAAAAAGTCAACTATGTGATCAAAGAATGGCTACCTGGATTGAGGAACGGAGCTGTCGTCAACGAATGGAGCTGTCACCATCGATTTCCAGTGAACGGAGCTATCGTCGTCGATTTTTGACGAGGGAGGAAGACGTCGTCGATTTTTGACGAGGGAGGAAGACGTCGTCGTTGATTTCAGAGAGCTCAGATGCGATTTGGGTGGGATTTCGGAGAGAAATTTTCGCAGAGAACAGACAACACACACAGACGAAGTTGATAAATTTTTGCAGAGAAGAGAGAAGAAGCTGAGAAAATTTTCGTAAGAAACTTGAGAAAATTTTCGTAAGAAGCTGAGAAAGAGAGAAAGAGAATAATTGAACGCGATGAGAAAGAGTTTTCATGTATTAGGGATTTTTAGATTTGGACCGGTTTATAATCGAACCGGCGGTTTGCTGCAAATATCCGATTTTCAAACTGTTTAAAGCTGTCCATTGCATTATAACGGTTTTAAGGTTGACTCGAACCAGACACATGACCGGTCCCCGGTCCAACCGGTTGGACCGGCTAGTCCGGTCCAGCTTTTAAAACAATGGCTTAAGCTAACTAACTCTCACAGCCTAACCACTAATTACCCCTTTTATCCCTTCTCCTGTATGGTATTGGTGGTGCTCTATCAATTTCCTCCCCAGAAGTTTGAAAAAGTTTTATCCTATTGCCCAATTTGGTAGAAAAATTTGATAATGCATCAAAAAGGAACCATGTGTCTTTAAACACCATCACAAATGTAAGAATATTGATATCCATTCTATAATACTTATTTTTTTTTAAAATAATGTCTATGTAATTACGGTACAATTATTTGAATTATTTCTTATAAACTGATATTAATAAGCTAGAGATATATTATATATTTTCTTTGATTCTGTATTTTTAATGTCTAATATATGGTACTGAAACTATTATTATTAATTGTTGACTTTATTAGTTCATTTATGATACATTAAAACTAATAATCGATAAATGATCTGATACCATAAACTAATAATTGTTCTAATATTGTAAAATAGAAAATTGATATGATACTATAAAACTAGTAACCGATATTGAACTAACTGATCATATATGTTAACTGATACATTAACATATATGACCAACACATATCAAGTGGTTAAACAGTCAAACATATACCCATCTAAGTCAAGAATTTTTGTTATGAATGTGCTTTCTAGTTCTTATAACATTGTAATCTCTGTTATGGCCCTTATTGCTTGCAAAATTTGGAAACAATGGTACCCTACTAAATTCTGAAAATAGTTACAAGAATCAGATAACTAATAGTAAAATAATATAATTTACAATAAGCATTTCAAATGTTTTCTTTTAAAATACAACTCATTACTATACATAAAATTGCATCACAGTAATAAGTCACAAGAACCAATCAATTATGGAAACATCTTCTTGCAAGTGTAATACAAGAGTGACCATAAAAGACCTCTAAGCGTTTTCTCATCCGATACCTTTAGAAGGCAAGCAACTTTGTAGAATCCTGCATATATATANAAATACAACTCATTACAATACATAAAATTGCATGACGGTAATAAGTCACAAGAACTAATCAATTATGGAAACATCTTCTTGCAAGTGTAATACAAGAGTGACCATAAAAGACCTTTACATGTTTTCCTATCGAATACCTTTAGAAGGCGAGCAACTTTGCAGAATCCTGCATGATATATATACATTCTTCATTTATTGATGGTTTCATTCCATTCTTACAAGGTTTTGGCCTTGTAAGAGCCCATTGCCCATACGGCCAAAGAATGCTTGTAACTTAGCGCTCTAAAACAATCAACAGTGGTCCAAGCTTCAGGAGTTTAGAAAGAATAACTACGCAGAAAACAACAATGAGTCAATGAATTATCAGGAACAAATAATTCTGAAGCAGATAATTTTCAGTGTAAATTATGCAGAATATAAAGTTTCCAATTGTAATCGACAGAAAATTGTCCTAAAGGTAGTAACTTGACGATGCAAGAAGTAAAGGACGGGTGCAAACGGGTATTTAGTCCTTATCTTCTACATTTTAGGATAGAGTATTTCAATCCTTGGTATCCATTTCTTGATTTCTCCTCTTAACCTATTAATTTCTCTCTATCTCCCTATATAGAATCCTATATTATCTATCTATGTTATTCTTCTCCTCCTTCATCACCTAAGGAGCAAAAATATTATCTACTAGACATTATAACTACAGGAGTTTTGTCCAACATTTCACAACATCAAGAATCTAATAGAAAATGGTTAAACGGCACATCCACCAAAAAAATAAATGAACTGACAAAACAAATGATGCAATGAAATCTATACAGATTTGAGATAGATTTAGATCTAAAAAACACAAACTCATACCTTAGTTAACAGCCTATTAACTAAGCTATAAGATAACAGTGTTTGATAAACTTAGGGGGTTCTCACTCGAGTCCATTTTTAGACCATACTGCTTCATAGATTTCAATGGCAATTTGAAATCCCATATCAACCAAATCTCCACAATCATCGTTACAGCAACTGCATATGTAACACCAGACCATATTTTTCTTGAATGCAATGTTGTCATGTCAACTGTTCCAACAGGTAGATCCCATTGATCGGTGCATCCATATTCTTTAAGATATTATAGAGAAAAACCTTCTCTAATGCTCTTTTTGCTTTGTCTTCATCAACTATCGCTGAAAGAGCACATGCTCGTGCATAACTACATTAGAGACACACCTGGTAAGTTCTTGTCTTTTCAGATTTGAACTAAAAAAGAATATATATTGAGAAACAGAAACATGTGAAACACTATAAATAAATCAAGATTTATCAGGCCTGGATAATTGAGAATATCAAAGAATGAAGTCAATCAGTTGCAACATACCATTGTCCAGTAAACTGATTAGCTTGAATAGATGAACTTGAGCGGCTACCATTATTGTCGTAGTTGAAGTAAGAACCATTCCACAATTCCTCATATACTGATAATCCGTGGATTATACAGTTATCATTTGACTTTTTATTCGGATTTCAGGTACTTTTTGGTGCATTTTGACCTGAATTGTTGCTTAATTCTTTACATTTCATGTTTTAGGTTAAAATGGACATTTTGAGCAAATAAGGACAAAATTTGGAAATTTTTGACTCAGAAGTTAGCGGATCTCAAAAGTTAGGAGAGTTCTGAAATAGGATAAATTACGATGAGGCTTGTTCCCAAAGGAGAGCACCGAGGATCGAAGAATCAAGCGAAGATGTAAGCAGAGTGGCAGTTCTGTAATTTCAAAACTTTTCAAGAAGTTTTGCTGCGGCGAAGTAGGCCAGCCACGAGCATGTCTGCTTTTCTCTTCGCCGCGGCGACGGTCATTATTTTCAGTTTTGTTAAACACACAGTTTTACTTTGTGCGTGTTTTTGCTAGGTAATTTGGGCGAGATATAAAAGAAACACTTAGCCTTTTTGTCCAGGAGTCTTCGTTTTTAGGTTGGGCAGCTTTTACATTTTCTTTGGCTGAGGTTTTGAGCGATCTGGAGTTGTAACAAGGGTGGAGATTCGATTTCTAACCAAGGGATTCATCTTTTGGGGAGATCTTTTATCTTTTATCTCATTTTCATTATGCTAAACTTTGATATTCTCATTTTTTGTTTTTGTATTGTTGATTTAGCTATGAACTAACCCATTTTGGGTTAGGGTTTTAATTGTAATTTGGATTTTAATGGGTTAATTGTTTGATTGTTTTATTTTCATAAGAGTATGCTTTCGTTGTGTGTTTACTCTGAGTTTTAATGCTTTTATATTGAGGAACATGATGAGATTGAGAAATGAATCATGTTAGGCTTCTTGGGTAATCACCATTGTAGTATTGGATGCTAGAGATAGATGCAAGAATCAATGAAATCATTGTAGGATTCTCTTGCTTAATGAGTTCAGAATTGTTAACCTTCAAATTGTTGGGTGCGGAAGGTTAATAAGGAAGAATAGGAAAACATAGCCCGAGAGGGTATGTTTAACACCTTAGTGAGTTCGATTTACAACCATTGCGTATGAATATGAATGTAGTGTAAATTTTAGGTTTAACCCATAAAAATCCGAATGAAGTCAAAACCCTACCCGTTTTACTTGAATTGATTATCCGTGTTTTTCGTCTCGCATTCATAGTTTATTTTTAGTTTAAATTTTTTTGTTCAGTTCTAATTAGAAATTAGCTCCCATCAATCCAAAGAAGTCGATTGCTTCAACTTGAGAACAGTAGAATACTTAGTGCTTAGCTAACAATCCTCGTGGGAACGATACTCTACTCATCATTTTATTACTTGTGCGACTAGTATACTTGCTACATTTTGCATGTTGTAGGAAACACGCATCTTATACAACTTTTGCTTACTGAGATTTACACCAAAAATAATCCTTAAACCCTTAAGATCTACTACATGTGCAAGTCCAAACGCAACCTGCAATGCTGCCACCTCCAATATATGTACTTACAACAGAGACATAATACGTATCGTATGTCTGATCAGGAAAGCTATCATTCTCAATCATCCCCATCACCATCCCTATCAAATTTGAGGAAAGCTATCTTTTATATTAGCTTTAAGAAAAAGGCAAGTTAACGAATTGTTATTTATAATCACATTAGGCCTAATTCCTTCTAAAATCTTCTCTTCATAAAGACTAAGAACTTCGTTGACTTCTTTATTCTTGCAATACCATNTGGCCAAATTTGAGCTTGAGTTTAGGGCATATTTTGTGTTGTTTGTTGTTGAAAATTGGTTGGATTTGGATCACTTCTGCTTACTGTAACCAATATAGAGCATTTGAGCAACTGGATGAACTTTTGCAGGATTCTGCTCTGAAAAAAAGTTTAATACTCGCTAAAGTTTTATCACGTAAACTTCAATTTTGCTTTTGGACCAGAAATTGAGGAAGCTTGTTCAAACATTCACTATAATTTTTTGCCTTCATTAGTAACTGCATGACTAAGGACATTGTACATTCAGTCGGCTTCACATTTCTCTCCGCCATCTTCGGAAGGAGTTCAACAACTTTTGGTATCTCATTATTCTTGAGGAAACCAAACATAAGTGTATTAAATGTGACTACATCTTTGAAAGAATACGAAACTTCATTTTTGGAGCTTGAAGATGTGACGTTGTGTAAGTGAGCTAACAAAAAAAAAAAATTAACTTTCGAAGATGGTTTTGAGAGATTGAAGACGAACGAAATGGGGATCTAGATCTCAAAGCCATGTATGAAGACTGTTTTTGTGGATCGTTTTTTCTGAAGTAAGGTCATTGCAAAAGGCAAATTCATTAAAGAGAAATGTTTTGACAAATTTCACAAACAACCTTTAAGGTTTTCAAAATTGCAAACTTATGTCAAGTATCAATCTTTCCTATTCAAACCACCTTTATGATTTCAAAAATTGTTCACTTGAAGGTTAAAAATGTAAATCCACGTTCAGGAGTTTTTTGGTTTGAGGTGGTTTTCTTCTAAATCCAAAATTATCCAGTTGATCAAACAAACCGATTTATATAAGTATTCAATTTTACCCTTTTTTAATAAAATTATAAGATTTAAATAAATCATGCTATTGAAATTTGTATTTAATTTCATTGTTTTAAAACCTAGCCTAGCTCGGCCCGGTCCGGCTGGTTTAACCATTTGAATTAGGACCCGGAAGCTTAAACGGGCCAAGTTTATGTTTTTCCTATTCACCAAAAACCCTAAAATTTGGGAGAATGATCGGCAAACAATTTTCGGCTGGGATTTTAGGGCTTTTGAAGAGAAATTGCAGGTGAAAGCAGTGGTGGTGACAGCATTGATTTTCGGTGAGTAAATTGACTAGAAATCGAACAAAACAGGCAGCGGCAACCACCGAATTTTGCCTGCGATTGGCGAGGCTAACGGGGGTGGCATGAGGTGGGTTTTGGTTGGGAGGAAAAGGGGAGTAATTTATGGGTGACAGGGAGGGTTGTCGACGTTGGCGTCAATTAGATCTAGCTTGGAATGTCGACACCAGCGTCAGTGAGATTTGGTCGAAATTGAACCTATTTCGGCCAAATCTTGGGTATATTTTAAGGGGAATAGGCTCAAGGGACGATTGGGGTTGCATCAGGGGTGTCGCCGCCGCCAACCAATTGCCAGCCGATTTGTATTTGGGGTGTGTTTGCTAAATTTCAAACCTATAGGGATGTAACTGCAATTTTTAGGGGTGTATTTGCTAAATTTTAAAAGTTTTTGTCAACCAGTCAACCTGGGACCAGACAACCTGCAATTTTTAATTTACAATGATGTATAATTTTTTTTTTTCTATTTGTTCTTCAAACTTTTAAATATACCAAAATCAATATTTCACATAATCGAATGTGATATATTAAAAATTCAAGGGATATTGTGTTTTACTTTTTAGAAGTTACATGAATAATATTTCGTTATCATGTTAATAAGATTATTACGCTAATTGTATTACTGAAATATCTATATTACTAAAATAATAGTACGTATAGTTTAATATAATTACTAGTTTAGTATTATACAATAGAGTTATATTGACAGCCTTGAGGTTTAATATAATAAAAATAATCAAATTTATAAAATAATAAAAATCTCTACTGTTAAATTATAAGAGTTAAAATAATAGAATCAGGGCAATTTAATAAATATTTATTAATTTTATAGATATATGTTCTAGCAGACTAATAGTTTATTAATAACGAGGGAAATTTTATTATTTCAAAAACCTTAAGTGAATTTATGTAATTATAGTGAAGCTCAAAGGAGTTGATTTGATGTCCTTAACACTTTATGATACTATTGTAATGTTCTATATTACCTTATCCACAAAGTGCACTATACATTAACATATATGATCAGCACATATCAAGTGATTAGACAGTCGTACATACATATATCTCAGTAAAGAGCTTTTATTATGAGTGTGTTTCTTATAACATTGTAATCTCTATTATGACCCCAATTGCTTGTAAAAATTGGAAACAATGGTATCCATCAAAACTAAATTCTAAAAACAGTTACGAAATTTCTGACAACAATGTTTGGCACTAGGCTTTCAATGAGAGAAATTTCTAAAATAGCTACCGAGTAGTGTCGGATATCCCTGTTTTACATAATCCATCAAAGAGGGAATTCAAGCTTCCAAGGTCAACTGCAAACTTATTATTTACTAAAGTATGAAACATTTCCACTTCTTCTAAAACACATCCATTCTTGCAAAGTCTTGGTAGCCCGAAAATCAGTAGATCAACGTGATCTCAAGGTCATGGAATCTTGAAGTCTGACTTAGCATAACCTCGTCGCTACCATCCAATACAGATGTTCGACAGACTAAGGGATAAGCCTTATCTCAAACATCTCGGGAGAGATAAGAACAAATAAACATCTGTGCGATCCCAACGCGCAATCACTAAAATCACGAAATCACTTGGCAAGTCTGATGGCAATCCCAAATTTCTTTCTACTTCCTTTGGTGTAAACTTGTATAAATACCCCTTCCAAATATGAGAAAGGGGTTAGCAAATTCCAAATATGAGACTCATGGGCGTGAAGTTAGAAGACAAGCTGATTCCAGGAGGCGACATGGGAAAGAGCCCATGGGGGAACAAGTTAATAATGGTCACCGGGAGGAATCTCGCACTTAGTGACGTAGCACATATAAGAAACAAAAAATGAAACATAATTCATAGATCACTTAAACACTCTCAAGTGCTCGCTTAAAATTAAGAAGGAATATCATACAAATACCATGGAATAACGTTTAATCCTATTCATGGGGATTGTGTAAATAGTCCATTCCGAAAATAGAAAGTGAAACAATTAGATCTTTTTTGAAGATTGGTGCTAATTCATGATCTAACATGTACAAAGCGAAAACTTCATTCTCGATTCTACGAGAAATTTTATGAAAGCATCCAATAGAATCATGAAGAGTCTAAGTGAAACAAATATAATCATATGAGACATGGA